CTTCAGATATTTAGACTAAGCGGCAATACGATGAGTTAAGGGCCATTGTTTTCACAGACAGGCACAGGTACGGTTTTGTTAAGAAAAACAAAAAAGTCGTTTTTTTGTCTATATTTTTTTAGCATTTGCCGTTATTAGTCCGTATAATCTTCGTATGCTTATACAAAAAATATTTCTTCTTTCTCTTCCTTTCTGTAAAGTTTCATAGTACCAACATATACGAGTATAAGTTGTTTGTTAATTATTTTCACATAGCGCTAACACTTCCTGGTTTCATTTGTTTGAATGTTTATGTAATGAACCGTTGTTAGTCTCTGACAGAACGCTTCCGAGTTTGTAACGAAGTATATTTTATAGTAAATTTATTAAAACTAGAGTTGAACGTTCGTGAGTCAGATATATCTTCAAAAAGAACGGATTAATTCTAACACTTACATTTTATTCGCCATTATTCAAATGTTTTATTCAATTTAGAGTTGATGCTTTCTTCACTGGTTACAGAACGCTAAAAAATCACAATGTTTTATATATAGACATAAAACATTGAGATTTTTTAGCGTTCCGTGAAATGTTTCAGTGAAATTGTGACAGCTCTAAAAACTTTTTATAGATACTTTTCATAAAACTAAGACGTCTAGAAATAAGTAGGTTGGGTGTCAAAAAGCTTTAATTAACTGACTATTCATATCCATTTGAATACACAACGTCCTCAGATATAATATTCTCTTCAGAAATCAGTTGCGCTTACATACACAGTAAGTGCTAAAATACATTACAATTAGAATGCAATAATAGAAATAAATGCATTGACATAATTGCTAGGACAAACCTTTTTAAGAGGGAGTGCGACTTAGTACCTTATACTCTTTCCTAGATTTGATTATCAATTTAAAAAAAAAAAATTTACTGTTCAATATTTTCTAAAAACGCTTTTTATAAACTTTATCTTAATGCAAAACAAACATTCGTCATCCCTGAAGGCTGTTTGAATATAAAAAATATATAATGACGTAAGGCAGCCGCTGCTTTCAGCTCAATGACATTGCAATAACCTCATAAAATTACCACGGTTCTCTTCATCAACAGCCTTAATAGTCCACTACTGAACATAGGCCTCTCCCTGGAACGGAGGTTTTGGACACCTATACCAAGCGGGGCAGACGGGTTGGTATCGGGTTTGAGTCAAGTTTTCCTTCTCTTGACTGTACTGCTGTCTGTGCTTAGTCGGCTCTTACGACACCTACGGGATGGAGACACTCCGTATTTTTCCCTTCGGTTTCCTAATGTAATCATTAGAATTTATTCATTAATTTAACATAGGTATGTGGATACATTTAGTTGAATAAAGAATAACACACTATGATGCATCATACATCGTAATAGAACCTATTTAAATTTACAAATCAATCAGAGCTGTTACGTAATATTTCATGATTTCAACATTAGGCGACAAAATCCATCCAGTTACTTGCGATGTTAAGAGAAAGTCAGTTCGTAAAGTTATCGTCCAAGACGTGACCAAGTTCTTAATTATAAAGAAATCTGGATCTGGGTGGAAAGGATTCAGAGCGTACAGAAACAAAAAATGCTAATGCATCATTTCTGTTTGCTGAAATTGAATTATTTAGATTTTCTTGAATAGTTCGTATTTATACAAGTGTCTTATTAATATCATGTGGTAATTCCACTCATTTGATAACTTTACTGTGAACGGGCGAGACGAACAGAGGTGCGGTGGATACTTTCGTAGTTTTTATGGAATACGTAAACAGCAAGCGTAAAATGTGCTTCACTTTACCAGAGCAAGGTTGTTATATTCAGCTTGTATTCTTAACATTTATAATCATAATTGTAGTATAACAACGAGTCACTGAATTGGTGTTGAACAACAGTTACGATGAATATTGAATGAATACATGGTATTGATAGTTCTGAACATAAACTTCAGCCCATGTCTGATATCGATCGATCTGATATCGACTGGCCTGTTGGTCTAGTGGTTAGTGCACCGGACTGTTACGTCAGAGGTCGTGCGTTCGATTCTCACCCAGGACAAATAAATGTGTGATAAGCACGGACATTTGTTCTGTGTCTGGGTATAATTTATCTATGATATGTATTTATTTAGCAATATATAAGTATCTTATTAGCAGTCTGGTTACCATAGTACAGGCTCTGCTTAGTTTGGGATCAGACGGCCGTATGAAATGTGTGAAAATATTATTATTATTATAATCAAAATAATTGGAGCGTAGAGAAAATTTGAAACCAGAAGCAGAAGCAGCCTGTAGGATTAAAATAAAATACAATAAATAACTGTTAACAGAATAAACTATTGGCAACAAAATATTTTTTTTATGTCACCGTAACTCTACGCCCGAAGTAATTAGCTAATGACTGTATGGAAACCTGAGGCTTACAAAACAATGACATTGTCATTTTGTAAAATCGAAAGAATATTTAGCCGTAGGCTATTTTAATACGACGATGGATTCTCATCCGGGTCATTATCTTATTAGGATATAAACCATCGAATGTTTTCATTACTACATAAAGTACCAGTGTTCAGGTAGTGCCACTCTTAGACTGCACGGATGGTGTAGTGGTTTAAGCGGTCGCCATACCGCTGTCTACTACATTGAGTGTTGTGGGTTCGATTCCCACATGGGACGACACTTTGTGTGATCCACAAATTGTGGGTGGGTATTATTGTGCTGTTTGTTATTTGTGTTAAGTTTCATGTATGTTTGTTTGTAAAGTCCCCCGCGTCATAGGATATATTACCTATTCCTACTGCGGGAGTTGTCTTTTATAAAAAATTAAAAATTATAATGTCATAGAAGTCGGTGTTAACTTAAACTCGATAATAGACATAAACTATCTCACACTTGAAGCTTTTATGAAACTGAGAATTCATAATATGTATTTATGTATAAAATTCCTAAGATTTAAATACCGTCTAGTATATATTCGTAAATGTATAAACATGCAATGGAAATCCTGAAATATAGACTTTATCTTTTGATCCATGACGTTAGGGTGTACTCGTAATCAGGGGCTGAAGCTGTCATGATCGCGCTCCACTTTTGTTAGACCCTTAAGAAACGTTACATGATAAATTAACCTTTACTACATTAATCTCTCATTGCGGTTTTATGTAACGCTTTAACGTCCTTCTGAGTTCAATGTTCTTAATTTGAATCTACTGTTATTTGTTGATCTTATTGATATACGTTTAAATGATCATATTTTGTTGATTCAATAAGATCTATTCTCAAAGTCAATTATTTCGAAGTGGAGTAATAAAATAACTTAAGTTAGATTGAAAATAGACGTCCAGTTTTAATGTTATTAAGTTTACATAAAAAGTGAATGTTTTGATAACAGTGGAGCAAAATAATATATATTGTGATAATATTACAATATTACCTACTATAAAATAACATAAAGACTAACGATGTGACATAAGCACCAATAAATTAATTTAACCCAATTTGTAAAGGTTTGACTTTACAGTCATCCAATCTACTTTTTGGATAAAAACATACCTACTAATAAGAGAAAACAACACTATTTTCCAGTATACTATGCATCTAAATAATAGTCTTGTTCGATTCTTATTGTAAACTAAACACGTTTTACGTACTTGTAATAAAAAAAGGTATTCCGATCTCCTTCAGAGGGTTTACCTATTTTATCCAGATTGTCATTAAAAACTTTTTTGCGACCTTTTCATAAGGTTTTTTTGGTCCAAGGTCGATGAAAAGCGAACAATAATATTACTGTTTTTATCGTATCCGGCACTTTTTATGCTTTTCATGCCATGTAATGTAAACTTAATATTTGGAAGGATTTAATTTAATTGAATTTAGAAAACTTATAACAATTTATGATGTAATCAATTTCTTATGAATTAAAACAAAATAACAATTGTAATAGGATCTTTACTTGTTTTCTATTTTGTCGCACGATTTTCTATAAAAACTTTTTACTAGCTTTAAAAACGTTTTACTAGCTCAACACTGGCATCAGTTGTGGAGCGACCCTTTTTTTTTCTCTTTTTCCGTGCGGAAATCCCCTCGGATACCACCTATCCCGCTCCGCCGTCTCCTTCGCGAGCATAACTTGCTCGCAGAAGGAGACGGCAGAGTTCCACGCACTCTTGCTCCGCACGATAGCCGCAATCAGGCCATCGAGCGAGAGAACTCCCACTCCGATGGCCGCCACGAGGTCTCGCCTCTGCTCAACCCACGCCGGGCACTCTGCTAGTGTGTGGAGAGCCGTGTCCACGGTCTGGCCATCCCAGTGGTGGCACTCAGGCGTTGGCTCCTTGCGGATCAGACACAGGTGATTCCCGAAACATCCTTTCCCAGTGATGAGTACGGTATGAGAGGGTCCCGTGACGCCTCTCGAGCCAATCCTCCATAACGGGTCTTACCGCCGCGATGACGGCGTGCCCGTGTGAAGCGACCCCTATACCACTATCAACACATTGAATAAATGTAAATGACAATTGATTAGTATTTAATTGCCTTAGTAATTAATACCGAAATTTTTCCATAGGTCGGTTGTTTTTTGAACTTTAATTGTGTTAAAAGGCTTCAATAATTTCAAACGGGGAAACATATTGGAACTTAGTTATTATCAATAATAAAATAAAATGAATATAAATGGAACATTTTAATCTCCACGCGGGAAAATTAACTGATAAAAAATCATTCAAGTTACTCTGTATCTACTAACAACAACAACAATTCACATAATCCAGTCTGTTCTTGGTTAATCAAATGATTACGTTGAATCATGTTTCAGGACAGTAGATAAATAAATTCAATAGAGCACACATTGCATAAGAAACATTTATACTAGCCTAATAAATGTAGATTAACGAGTTGAATTTACAATGTTAAAGGAGGCACTAAAAAGTACTTAAAATACAATAATAAACTTAAAATAAACAACAATCTGTGAACTGATAATATTTTTCTTTTAAAATAAAACTAACCATAGTCAAACTCAACCACGTTAACGTTAATAAATTCTGTTCATAATGTAATATCTTTGTATTGTGTTATGAAATAAGTCATGTCTCTGAAACATGAGCAACCTGAAATATTTGAAAAAAGGAAAACGACTTACCATGCGTATAAAGCGGCGAGACGTGATATTTGACAGCCGCTGTACAGGCTATTGCACCAGTGCCGCCACCTAGCTGTAGACCGTGTGACAGCACTTGTACAATAGTGCCCACTACGGTTATGGTCCAACCCCAACCACCTTCAGGGTAGTAGCGTCTGGTGAGTGTAAGAGCGGCGCGAGCGCGAAGCGCTGCCGCTGTCTCCGCGCCCACTGTAGCTCCAGCACTCGCACACCTAACATGTCACAAAACTTTAGACAACCAAATTAATATGACTCATCTACTTGAACTTACTAGTCCAGTAGATAAATCCCGTTTACACATATTATCATACAGAACTGCACTAACCGACGAAACTGAGCCACTTCACGTGATGCTTCATATCCTACACTTTTTGAACGACCTCGCTCTTGCTTGTTATCAAATTTGTTTGAAGAATGAACTTGATTACTACTTATACCACATGTACACAAGTCTTCAGGTCTAAATCTCGGCTGGGTGTGAAATGTTGGTGTATATCGCTCATGACAGTCACATTCAGGAGTTCTCCAGGACAAAAGACGTTGTAAAAGAGACCGCCGACGGTACACCGATTTGGACCCACACTCAACCTGTCCCGTATCACGGATGGATGGAAGTAGATTGCCAGCACGATTTGAAGTGTTGATTTGTCGATTGTTGTACGAAATTTTTTTTCGGCCACCTTTACTACTACACGCAAACGTGGGTAAGAAACTTTCAGTATCGGAATCTGCTTTTTCCTTTCCACCACTAATTTGTTCTTTTTTTGGCGCAAATCCATTTTTTATTTTCTTGACGTCTATCTGAAGGGATTTCCACGTCGCAATAACTTCCTCTCGAACAGGTGGATCACTTAAATTTAGAATAGTGCTGGAATCGGGAATATTTTTTTGCTTTCGAATCTCAGGCTCTGATGGAATAGGTATTACCCGGAGTTGTGTGGGTAGACTGTCAGATCGGCGCAACGTCATTGTCAATTTCATTTGAGGGTCTCATTTTTTTAAAAACATGTACACTTATTTCTTCGACTTGTATACTATTCTTCGAACTACTTAGACAAAATCCAGCAGGAATTCTGTAACAAAGAATTTATGAAATTTATAAATAAATCTCTTTTCATAGACCGTGTTAGTAAGATACAACCTTTAAAATAACTTTAAGACTCAAAGGCTTTGAAAACTGCTTTTACGGATTAGGGTGTCCATATCCTAAATCTTACTGTCAAAGTAGGTAGGTAGTAATCCTATTTTCTAGTTATGAACTAAATATCATATATTTCTTAGTAATAATCTCTGGAATACTATGACGATTCAGTAATATTATAAGCTTGTTTATTATTCAGATGAAAGACTTATAAATTTACTAAATTTTATGTAAACAAGGACATTTTGAAAATTCGAAGCAACAGGGTCGATAGCAAAGAGATTCGGGGCATTGTTTAATGCCTATATATATAAAGTAATGAAAGGTCATTAATTATTTAATATTAAAATTTTGAATAGTAAGAGTTTGCTCAAAGAATAAAGTTATTATGATAAAGAACATTCAAATCTAAACAAAGAATTGGTCTGAAACTTAAACTTACTTGTACTTTAAGGTCAACGATTGCAAAAGATTTGGACGATACATCTTAGGACTTTTGCCAAGTAATTAAAAACAATTTTCTTGGTGATATAGATCTAACAAAATGTTGATTCGCCGTCTCACAGTACTCTTAAATCTTGTACTTTAATTGCTGATTCAAGCTGTGAGTGTGTAGTGATCTATTTATGAGCTAATTATCTTTTTAATGTCTTTTAGTGCTGTTGATAAGTATATACAATATAAATTGTTTTTTTTTTTAAATTAACAATAGGGTTTAGAAATGCTATGGAAAGTTTACAGACATTTAATGTTAAAAAGTATTAAGGAAAGTGGAAATTCGTTTAAATACCTTATGAAAAATATATCTCGACCTCGACCTCTTGCTTAGCAGGCAGGGTCACTAACCAATAGACGGACATGTCCGTCTATTCAGACGGGCATGTTGGTTTATTAGTAATACTAAAAGAGGTAAAGCTTATACTAAGCGATTCATCAAATCAAATAGCGTAAACACTTTTACGACTTAATTTAAAAACAAATGCAACTAGAAAACTGATTATTGAATATGTACCAACTCTATAATGAGGGTTAAACGCCGAACTTTTCAGACAACATTCCATTCTGTTGGCCGTTCATAGTCGGTAATTACATGCGCGGATTCTTTTGTTGCCCTCGCTTTAGCAGACAATTGAATTTCAAATCCACTTCTTTTTGGTATCCTTGGGTGATCCCTAGACACGCTTATATCAGTGCTTTTTATAGTAAATGCTCGCAACTTCTTCGTGTATGGTAATGTGTCTGGGCATGAATTCCACGGGTAATATCGTCCTGAAAATGTTCACCTCTGAATACGAATTTGTAACTATTTTTATTACTTAAACTTTATTACTACTTACTGATTTGATAAAACTTTCATGTTTATGATAAAATTACCTATAAAATATAGCAGTAAAAAACCTAAGTAGTGATTTTCACGTCTATCATCTAACGCCATCAGTAGCGTGCGGTCTGGTGGAAATGATGACCTTCAAATTATATGTGTGTAATAAAGTATTTTATCATGAACCATTCTTTTATACTTTTCACGATTGAATAGATAATTTATTATTGCATAGTTAGGTACGATATCTCTTCGATATAATAGTAATAGTAAAATAAATTAAACTTAAAACGTAGTTATATTGGAAGTTGATAAAGATTATACGGAGTTATGAATATTTAATGTTGAAGCTTCCTCTACTAATTCTACTAAATTCATGTTTATTACTGATCTATCTATACATGAACCGTGTATGTGTGCCGTGTATATGAGGGCTATGTATTTTGTCAAATGTTTTTTACAAAGTAAGTAACTCACTTTGCCGTGGTTTGATTACTATTGTATTTTACATATAGGTATTCACAAGGAGTCAGTTATTTTCAAACGAAACGTATACGTGAAAAAATCTTTAATAGGTTTCTGATTTCTTTTTAATTTTAATAACTATTTTGGTTAGAAGAGACGAGACTATATTTGATATCAACGAGGAAACAGAACGTCATCATACTTAGCGATGTTTCTTTTTGGGATTAATAAAATAATCCATCACATGTTTAGTAAACTGGATTCAGTTACTCTAGTGAAATTGCCTGTAATTCTAGGCAGAGAATTATACTAAAAGATCGACCAATTCTTGACTTTGATTAATTCGAATAATCAAAATACAATTTGGGACAACTGAGGACCACGGCTTCGGCTCGGTATTCTTTGATTTGTTACTACACTTGGTATTAGAGAACTTCTCGACATTCTAAGAGCTTCTAGAAGTTTTGATTATATGAGTCTTTATGCTTGATTTAGATCTGAACTCGTAAATCTTGATAGTATTCATTTACGAAATATAGAATTTAACCTCAAGACATTGGACGTTTATGGGAACATAGTGATTGATGAATGTAGTTAAAATAATAGTTCTTTTCGAGTACAATTTCGCTTGTATCAATTTCGAAAACCTCCCAATGACCGTTTAAAGTGTTTAGTGGTTTCCACGGGCATTATAAGGCAATCCTCAATCATTTTTTCCATAACATACTTAAAGAAATATACGCACAGTTCAACTTATCAAAACAAATTCATAGGACTTCTATTTTTCACTTAATTACCTTCCCAAAGTCGAGTCTAACAAGGAACAAGGACTTCATATTTCTCTTTAAGATAATAATGGTCTATACTTTAAATTTAAACAGCGAGTGGATCGACTGGTGCTATTATCATAGAGAAAGGTTGACAGCTGGTTTACCAAATGAGCAAAATAACACATTCATTCTTGATTTTCTTACAAACCATTAGGAATGAACCAAACAAATTAGGAAACAGATACTTTAAATTTACGGGGATTAAGTTTAATTTTGAGTTTTTACTTACTATTTTTATTTCATTAAAAGATTCAGTTAATGGCACACACTAATACAATAATAAAATATAAAGTGTAAAGAAATAGCCTTTGGACTAAGTTACTCGCACATGTAACATTTAAAAATTAGTACTCAACTTGAAAATGCTTGTATCTGTATTGGTTAGAAGTAAAGTGAAATGATTCCTTGGGCTAAATGATAAGTGAAAAAAAATTGCAAGCTTTACTTAAAATGATTTAATAACTAATACTAACGCTAGTACAATTAAATACTTAAGGTAAAAGGATGACGGACATAATCATAATAAGGACACAAATAATATATCGTCTAAAGCTTGTTGAAATTTACTATCAATTATTTGGAGATGGCAACGTGACTTTGTTCAAAAGAGAGAGACGAAACAATTTTTGTAAGAAGATGGAGGAAGAACTTAAGTAAATGAAAATTAAGGTTATGTCAATATTATCTCAACTGTTATTTTCATTTCTTTGAAGGACTTTGAAGAATCATAATATTTTTGTTTGTGATTGCATATAGAAGTAGTTTGAAGGGACATATAAAGCTAGAATTTATTAATTAAACAGCACATTTCTTTCAATAGCTATTTCTATTTTCTTCGAAGTAATTTAATCAAGCAAGCGCATTTGTAAGTTTCTTGATATTGATAAAGTCTGTGAGATGTCTGCGTGGGATAAATGTTGAACGCTAATTTTCTTGACAGTTTTGCGGAACGCCCATGTTTTCTCTAGAATACTTCATTGAGAGTTACTTTTCTGAAGATGTTATCAGCATAGATATGTCTTCGTGGAATTTTAAAAGCACAAAACATCTGACAATAAAACTGATTTACCACAGAATTTTTGTTTTAACCGCACAAATGGCCACAATGTGACACAGTGATTAACAATTTATGGACGTAACTCTTATATCAATATTACTTATAAATATGTGTGGCACCATTAATGTAACTTAAACGTCATAACAAATCAAATCAAATCAAAGATTAAATATATATTAAATTAATTATTCATACTAGGATATTGTTTATTTAACAAAATTGCAGCACTGGTGTTGTAATTAATGAGCTTCGTGAGTAAGAATTAGAGTGTGCGACACTTTTTCAGTCAAAAAATCAACACCATCAAGCTTTTAGTAATGCACTTGTGAGACAACGGCACCTAGGGCCTCGGAAAGGAAGTTTTGGCCTACTTTACGAGACCCGTAAGTATAGGATTTATTTCAAGTTTGCCTTGTCTTTGCAGTGCTGTTGTCTTGCGTAGTTTGCTCCCTTAGTTGGCTCTTACGACACCTATGGGATGAATAGAGGTGGTGACATTCCGTATTGCTAATTCGGACCACACGGATAAATATCTGCCACAGTAAAAAATGCCATGTTTTAATAAAAATGTGGTTGAATCACGCACGCTCTACCCGTCTCGCACCTTAAAATTTCGACTGCTTACTAGTTCCACTATCGCTCAATATTATTGAATTCTATTTCGTCACTTTTTAATACGTCCAAGTATTACAAACAAGAATCTTCTTCTTAGATATTCGCGTTATTATAAGTATTGTCATAATATACTTATTAAAGTTCCAGTTTAGTCTCTGTTATGAATAAATATAGAATGAAAACAAGTGAAAAAAAGAATATATTAATAGAAACATTTGTAAAGCATCGCATCGTTGTTCGCATCTATTTTCTTCGCCAGTAACGTCTTAATTGACTCGTGCAATATTCCTTCAAGAAATAAGTGAAAGATACTAGTAAAAAATCATCTTAGTAAAATTCTATCTATTTCTTTTATTCAAGAGTAACAACTTTGTAACATAACGAACTGAGATTTCAGTCTTTAATTTACTTTCCTTGTGACACTTTTTCTATTGTAGGCAATAAAAACAGGATCAATGCTGCTTTAGCGACTCGCATAAACACCAAAATGTTGTTCAAGTATGTATATAATAAAAATGTAGATAGATACGTGGTCGTTTA